ATAGTAGAGCTGACAAGGAGCAAGGTTGTGGTCACTACTTGGTCACAGCCAGCTACTCAGAGGGACCAAGTAGTTGAACCTGTGGGCTCGGGACCATAGTCGCAGGGGACATCAAGCTCAATTGGCGTAACATACTATACAAAACATTGTTCCACCTTCTACTTTGATGAGTAGCGACTGGTATCTTAAAAGCTAGCAAGCTGCCATCTAGATTCAACGATGGATCTCTCTTTGTCCAGAACAAAGAAAACCAAAGATTCATGGAAACAATTAGTCTTTGCAACTGTACACCATACAATTCTCAACCTATACGACTATGAGACCAGAAGATCTAGATGGTGCCCGGCTACCGCTGTCATCCACTTCGAAGGGGATCTATGTAGGAGATCCTTCATAGAGAGGGAGAACAATGTGGAACAAAACTCAAAATCATTTGGAGAAAAAAAAAGTGGGGGAGGGACCAGGTTTGCTGGTCCGATAGAGCTTGGTGGAACCACTGAGGTTATGGCCCCTAGCTGCCCTTCAGGTCTGGAATTGAATCCACACCTGTGGTTTCCAGCCAAACAAAAGACAGGCATATGAGCTTATGCACAAGGAGACAGCTCAGGGGGCAGGAGTGCATGGAGGAATGGTCACAGGGACAAGGTAACTATTGGAAGGAAGTGGAGGGGAGCTGTTGCATTGTGGTCAATGTTATGAGACAACGTGTATGTGAACTGCTGTATGGAAAGTAATTTGCTCTGTAAATTTTCACCCAAATCACGATAGATAGATAGATAGACAGATAGATAGATGAAAGAAAGAAAAGAAAGAAAAAATATATATAGGTATTTTTTCCCTCCAAAAAGTAAGCTATCTAAAAAGCAACATGAAAGTATAGTTAATAGAGGCCATCTAAAATGCAACAATTGGTCTCTCCATGTCCAGAGCAAAGTATAATGAAGAAAATCAAAGATGAATGGAAACAATTAGTCTAAGGGACTAGTGGACCAGGTGAACCTCAGTCTACATGACCCTGAGACCAGAAAAACTAGGTGGTGCCAAGTTACCACTGTCAACCACTCAGAGAGGGGTCAAAATAGGATCTCCTGTATACAGTAGGAGAAAAATGTGGAACAAAACTAAAAATCGTAAAAAAAAAAAAAAAAAAACAGGCTCACTGGTCTGACAGAAATCGGTGAAACCCCCAAGACTATGGGCCCTAATCACCCTTCAGGCCTGGAACTGAACGCACGCCCATGTCTTCTAGCTAGACAATGGAGAGGTCTGTAAGGTGGACATTTACACCACGTAGGTACACTCCTTAGAACAACCAACCAACCATGGGAGATTAGAAGGGCAGCATTTACACAGGTGATAGCTGAAAAAGCAGGACTACAAAGGAAAGAAGGACACAGAGAAAACGTAACCACAGGAAGGAACTTAGAAGAGAGCTGTTACGTTATGGGGACTGCAATCAATGTCATGAAACAACATGTGTATGTGTTGTTGAATGGAAAATTTGCTCTGCAAACTTTTACCCAAATCACATTTAAAAAACTAAATTGGTTGCTGAAATATATACATGTATACATATGTACATACACAAATAAACCTGTAATATAGTCTATTCCCTAAAAAAAGTATACCTAATAGAAAGTATATTTCAAAAAGAGCTTCAAAACACAGTACAGACACTGAGACCAAAAGCACTAGATGGGGCCCAGCTACCACTGTCAACCACTTGGAAAGGGATCAGTATAGGAGATCCTGGATAGAGTGGAAGAAAAATGTGGAATAAAACTTGAAATCATAAAAAAGATCAGGTTCACTGGTCTGATGTAGACCGGTAAAACCCCCGAGACTATGGCCCCTCGTCATTCTTTGGGCCTGGAATTGAACTCACTCCCATGGCTTCCAGCCAAACAATGTGTTGTTATTGTTGTTGTTAGGTGCCGTTGGGTCGGACCCGACTCTCAAGAACTCCTCCTTGGGTTTCCGAGGCGGTATCGCTATGAAAAGAGATTGCCCAACCTTCCTTCCGAGGAGTGACTGGTGGGTCTGAACCACCAGCCTTCCGGTTAGCAGTCAAGCACTACGATACCAGAGCTTCTAGCCAAACAGACAGGCATAAAAGGTGAGCCTTTACACCAGGTAGGTACACCCCTTAAGGAGCTCTGGTGGTGCAGTAGATAAAGCATTAGGCTGTTAAGTGGAAGGTCAGTGGTTCAAACCTACTAGCTGCTCCACAGAAGATAGGGCAATTACTTCCATAAAGATTGATAGCCTTGGAAACCCAATGAGGGTTGCTATGAGTCAGAATGGACTTAATGGCAGTGAGTTCAGTTTGGTTTGAGGTACATTCCTTAGAACAATAAACCACGGAAGATCAGAAGGGCAGTATTTGCATACAGAGAGAGCTCACAGGGAATACATAGGAAAGGACACTGGGAAAAGGTAACCACAGGTAGGGAGTGGGAAGACAGCTGTTGTATTATGGAGACTGCAATCAATGTCATGAAACAAAATGTGTATGATCAGTTGAACGAAAATGAATTTGCTCAGTAAACTTCACCCAAATCACAATTCAAATTAAAAAAAAAAAAAAAATGTGGTACAAAACTCCAAAATGCAGTACAAAACTGTTACTGCACTTCTCCCTCTCAGTGTGCCAATACTTCAATGATCTAAAACAGAAAAAAGGGACAAATGGGACAGTAAAATATTAGCAAGTGCGAGTTGATAGCAACAGATTCAAATTGAATCTAATGGTTTAAGAATACTCAATTAACTGCCTAAAGTATCTTATCTTTTTAATTATGAGAAGGTTTCAATTTCCTAAGTCTATGAATGTTAAAAAGGAGCACTGGTGGTGCTGTGGTTAAGGCATTGGGCTACTAACCAAAGGTCAAAGATTCAAATCCACGAGCCACTCCACAGGAGAAAGACAAGTCAGTATGCTTCAGTAAAGACCTACAGCCTTGAAAATCCTATGGGGATCCCTATCAGTCAGATTCAATTCAACAACAGTGGTTTGGGTCTTGATATGAACATTAAAACTGAGACATAAATTAGAAAACAATACACAGTATTCTAATAATCTATCAGTAATTTCTTTATAATTTATGCTCAACTTTCAAAAATATCTAGAAGTGGTTAAGGAAAAGTTATTTTCTTTTGATATCACCTAATCTTTTCAAAATACTGTAATTCTCTCTCATAGATACGGCGTTAGGAAAAATTGTTTAAATATACAATCCAATCCACAAAATGGAAACCAGCAATCATATTAAAGTACATTATTTTATTATTAAATGTACAAGAATCTATAGATACTAAATATCATTCTTACATATATAGTCCTATTAACAAGCACACCTAGCATATCCTAATAGTTTGATTCAATAGCATAAAATAATTAAAACCATAGCACTAAAATGTCATTTTCTTAATAATCCTTACTTTCTTTATAATCCCTACTTTCTTAATAATCCCATCTCCCTTCCACGGAGCAGCTGGTAGATCTGAGCTGCCAACCTTCTGGTTAGCAGCCAAATGCCTTAGACTCTATGCCAGAGCTCCTTAATAGTTTGATTCAACAGCAAGTACAATAAAGTTATAACAGTAAAATGTCATTTTCTTAATAACCCTTACTTTACTAGCTACCTCTAACCCCATATATATTGAAGTATTTCATCAATGCTAGAATTACTAAACATATTATCACTTATGACACCTGCACATTACATGTCACCTTTATCACGATTTCAAAGACATCATTTTTAATTAAAATGCATGCAGAATTTATTCCAAGATATTTCTTAAAAGTCACATTCATACATTTAATGCCTTTCATTTTACTACATACTTTGTTTTCCTATTCGATCATGACATGAAACATTAAGTCACATTTCCATAATCTACTGTTTCAATAAAGATTAGAAAATTAACAGATGACAGATACTCACTTTTTTCAACTTAACATTTTCTAAATGGTCAATTTTCTAAAACCTTATTTAACACTTAATTTCAAACACTGTCCTCACAGGAAACGAAACATTGTTTTCAGGACGGGAGAGTTGACGAGCTTATCTAGGAAACTGCTTGTTAGCTTTCATCTTGGTCTGTACTTTTATCTTGTATTCATTGTAGTTTTTCACAAAAATTTTAAAAGTAACATGTATTCAGTCAACTAAAAATGATCTTTCCCTTATTAAGAGAAGCAGTCCTCTCTCATCAGCAATCCTATCCCAATCCATGTCAGTGCGAGTACAGAACCAGAAGCTCACTCAATTCAGTACGCCCCCGATCGACCCATTTCCCTACCCGAGATTGCCACCTGCCCATCTCAGGCCATCCCCCGCAACTCCCTCTGCTCAGCAGGCAGACCCGCAGCCGCAAGGACGAATGCCCGCGCCCCAGGCCCGCCAGGCGCACGGCCGACGCGCGAACACAACCCGTCGCCGCCTCCTGCCGGCCGCCCGGCCCTCCGTTCCGACACCGTTCCGTCCCGCCCCGACTCTCCAGCCCTAGGCTTTGCTCTACTGGGAGCCGTGTCTGAGAGCGTACACTGTGCTTTCTCCCACTCTGTCAGCGCCTGGCCGCCAGCAGGAGACGAGGCGGGCAAAGCCAAGACAAACGGGAAAAGCTGGCAGCTTGGCCTATGAACCGACCTGTGGAAACCGCCATCTTCTCCTGCAGCCCGACGCAGCCGCCCCTCACGCACGTCGACGTCACTTACCGTCACTTCCGGAGCGCGCTGTCGGCCCCTCCCCGGGTGCCCGGCTCTTGCGCTTGCGCTCGCGCGCTCGGACCTGAGGCAGCAGGTCGACGCTGGCGCGAGGCGACTGCGGGAAGAACTATTAGGAGAAGGATGGTTTGGGCCCGAAGGGCTGGCCCCGGGGTACTAGGAGGAGCGGGTGGACAGGTGAAAGGCTCGGCCCAGGGACGCTGGGAATGGGAGGACTGGAGGACCGAAGAAAGGCTGGGGAGAATCAGGGAAACCGAAGATGGAATGCTCAAATCGGGAGGGACTGGGAGAACTAGGGAACTCTCCCGGGCCCAGAGGAACCGGGTTATCCGGGGAGGGCGGGTTTGGGGAGGTACAGTCCCAGGAAGGACTTGGGCCGGGAGGGGGTGGACCCAGGTGGGTCAGGGGACCTGGAGAGTCCGGGAAGAGAGGGATGTGGCCTCTTCTGTGGGACTCTATAATTATTTTGAAGTAAAATGTTAAGTTCAGTAAGGATATTGGAAGGTAAAGTTGATATTAAAAGACAAGGTAGAAGTTTTCAAAAGCTCTTTCAGAAAGTATAAAAATTCATAAATAAAACGTTAAAAAATATAATTTTAAAAGCAAAACATTTACATCCTCGCTTGCACTGTGCCAGCGCAGTAATAATATTTTTACACAGATCAAGTAGTATGTATTATAGGTCCGCATAGCTGTTTCACAAATAAAAAGGGTATCAAGTTTTATTTGATACTGTTACCCCTATTTGAAACTAAACCTCAAGGCACTGAAATGAGCAATAACTGGGATGCAAATGCAGTTCTGACATTTCCATTGGTGTGTGAGCTCCTTTTGCTTCTCAGTTCCCAGCTTTGCTACTTAATTGGAAGTGACCTTCCATAGCGTTATTTTCATGTATGTTTCACTTTCTATGGTAGGCAGCCTCTAAGTTGACCATATTGGTTACCCCCCCCCCCAGTTTATTTGTGACCTTGTTATGTACAATCCCCTTCCCTTAAATTAGTTTCTAATGAATAGAGTGAGGCAGAAGTGACATTTTTAAAAGACTTCATGGTGTTTTATGGTGCTCTCTCTTGCTTGCTCTGAGGGAAACTAGTTATTGTCATATGATGGATGGACTGCCCTATTAAGAGGCACACATGTCGAAGAGCTGAGGGAAGCCTCATTTCAGCACCCTTGGAAGAACAATTGTGGCAATGAACACAGGAGTGACTTTGAAATAGATTTGCCCCAGTCCAGCCTTAGATAAGACTACAACCCTTGAGTGCAAATTTCTGAAAGACTTTAAGGCAGAGAAACCCAGCTAAGATGGAACCAGATTTGTGCTTGATGTTACCTAGGAATATGATTATAGATAGAGACTTTGAGTTTTTCACAAGTTTTGTACATTTCAAAAAATGTCCAACTCATTTTCACTTGGCTTTTGGTGATTTTGACCTTGGTGTCCTCTGTTTCTTTACCATACTAATACTAATAGGTAATGAAAACTTTAAATGTATCACGTGCCTCTCCCCCAAAAACAGAGACAACTGGTAGGACATTGACCAAATTCAGTTCATTACAAATTGTAAATGTTTTCTCAGGAAATGCATTGATGATAAAATATGTATTATCTTCAAATTTTATAAACTAGAATTACAAAGCCAATAGTCCTCCTGTAATTTAAGAGTAAATTAAAAGAAATGTGAAATTTTGCTTAACTTGAAAAGTAAAATGCTCAATTTTTGCTTTTTCTCAATGGTATATGAAGCAACATGACTCAGTGACAACCAGGAAAAAAGTAGGTGTGAAAATATACTCCTGGGAAAGAAGGAAGAAGCAACCAACCAGAAAAGCAAAAATGGAATAAAAACGACAATTAAGTAGACAAATTGAAATCTATTTGTTCTATGAATGAAATTGCAAAAAAAAAATTGAAAACCTGCAGTATTACATTTAAAAAAAGAAAAAAACTTTGGAGGCACAGTGGTGTTTGCAGCAGGCAGAGGGAAATTTGAAAGGCATGAGAAGCTAGGATAAGCAGTAAAGGTGAGCAATGGATGTGGATTTCCAAGCATTTTCACACTACTGTTTACTAGGCTTATCAGTGTACATTGAAGAAAGAGGATAAGGTTGGAGACAGAAGTGTTTAAAAAGGTATGTAAACTTAGGGTCCTCACCAGTGAACTGGGGATAATCACAGGAATCTATTAAGGTATCAGGCACATTAAATGTTACCAGTAAATTGTTGCAATCATTATATAGAGTATATATTCAAACTAGAAGAAAAACTTGTCATTCCTCTGATAGGCAAATAAAATAATAGTCCTCTATCACTTGCTAATGGAAGATCTAAACTTCCTTAAGTAAAAGTTGTGTGCAACATGTGATGCCAGCTCCCAACTACAGGTAATTGGACAAGGATAGGAATAGGACCAAAGGGCAGCCATTCTGTGGGCTGACCACCAGCTTGTGAGGAGGTCTATGACAACAAACAAACAGCTTTGTTTATTAACATCAGGATAAGTGTTAAGATAAACCATCAGATTTTCTAAATTTATCTTTGAAGTCTGTCTTGGAAAATACAGAAGACAAGACATACGAAAAGATGCAGAGACAGGAAAGGAGTCACATTAATGGTACGTATGAAGGTGATCTGATGGTCCTCTAGATTGATATTGAATCTTCCGTTTTCAAAACAATTGTTCTCACAATAAATAGACATAATTCCTATGAAATTCCTCCCAACAGACTACGGTGGCCCCATGGTCTCCCATGAGCACCTGATGTTCACGCACTTACATGATCCCCTCCCCCTGAAGAGACTTGGTACAATTATGGACATTAATGTAATTTTGGTGAAGACTCAGAATAATTGAGAGCTGTGAGGAAAGCCTTCTATCATGAATGTTGCTAGAAATGTGGATGTTTAATGTGCTTCTGATGATGAACATGTTGAGCCCTGGAGGAAGGGCCATCTTTGTTATACTGCGGCAACTTGTCTGAATTACGATCAAATGTTTGTGGAAAATAGAGCTTTTAAGTGAGAAACTTGGATATTTAGCTAAGAAGATTTCTAAATAAAATCTCGAAGAAGTGGCATGGTTTTTCTTTGCCACTTAAGATATGGAAAGAAAGATAAATTTAGAAATAAACTGGGGAAAAAGAAACCAGAAGTTGGAGATTTGGGAAATTCTATTTAAAAATAGGAGCCCCTGGGTGTTACAAATCGTTAAGCGTTTGGCTGCTACCCAAAAATTTAACAGATCAAACCCACCCTGAGGCACTTTGGAAGAAAAGCCTGACAGTCTGCTTCTGAAAGGTCACAGATACAGAAATAGAGTAGAGTGTAGTTCTACTCTGACACACATGGGGTCACCATGAGTCAGAATCAACAATGGAAACTGGTTGGCTTGGTTATTGTAAAAAGAGAATGTGGCTGCACAACCATTTCCTAAAGAGATTAGGCCTGTGACCAATGGATTTAATCAACAATCTCAACAAAAACTCTTGTCAGTTTAGTCTGAAAAAGACAAAGAATAAAAAATGAAGGAAAGCTCTCTGATTCCTGAAATTCCAGAAATTCTGTAGGCCATTGGACCAAATTGGTTGTAAACATCTGTTGTCTACTATCTTGGTTCCTTAATGCTGTTATAACAGAAATCTACAAGTGGATGACTTTCTTACAGTTTAGGAGGCTAGAAGTCTGAGTTCAAAGTGCCAGCTCTATGGGGTGGGTGAAGGCCCCTCAACAATGGGCTTCAGCTCTGCCTCCTGTTCCAAGCCCAATGTAGCTGGAGGCTTTTTCTGACTTATGCAACTGCTGGCTGTTGGCACTGACAAACCAAGATCAACAGGTAAAATGGCACAATCCCAAGATCTGCAGGCAACACAGCAGACCACTGGTTCAAGTTCAGGAGCTGGAGATGAAGACTTGGCCAGTTGCAGGATCCAAATGTGCCAAAAGCTAGAGATCTTTCCCACAGTTATTCCATATATATTGGAAGCAGGCCACACCACAAAGGCTTGCTGCTCACAACAGATTCCACCACGGAGGTGATTACAATGTCATCATTGGGAATAATTACATCAAGTTGCCTAGCCACTCATAACCATGGGCCAGCCAAGTTGACACACAACCTTAACTACCACATTCTCCAAGAAAAGGAAATAACTTTCCCAGAAGCAGTTCATAGACCAGCAGGACTACTGAAAAGAGTACAAATTAGGGGCACATGGCTGCTGCTGCCTCATTTTCAAAGAGTAGAATTACTACCTAGATTTCCAAAAGTGGAGCCACCACCTTGGTTGCAGAGACCGGGGCATTCATTGGGCCACTCAAGACAAAAGGGATAGGGTCACTGCTCCAGTAGTCCAAGAGAATGGACCACCCAAAGCCAAGGAGGTGGGACAGGTTCATCATCCCAGTGAGTCTACAAAGAAAGGTCCCTGCTCAAGAGTTTGAATGCCAAAATGGTTCCAGACAACAGAATTCTTTTCAAGCCTTAAGATCTAATGAGATTGGCCCTGCTGAGTTGAAGGCTTGTTTGGTACACATGACCTCTTCTTTCCCTCCAATTTCTCCTTTTTGCCTGTTTCACCATAGTTCTTTGGAAGCAGATAACACATGTGCAAATGAAGAAAAGACCATATCCTACATCTTATACTTGACTTAAAATTCAGAGGATAATATTTTGGGCCTAGAGTTGATAATGCTATGGGTTAGATGTGATAGGGTGAATTTATATTGCACATGGGAAGGACATGAATTTTGGAGGCCAAAGAGTGGAGTGTTATATTTTGAACTGTGTCTTCCCTAACCCTATTCCTAACTGCAGTACCAACACTAACCATAACTTTAACCTTAAGCCTAACTTAACAGTAAGAAGGAGCACACATATTATATGGTCATTGTACCAAAAAGAATTGATCAGTGTTCAACCATGTGAAAAAATAAAACTGGTATCAAATTGGATCTGACTTACAGCGACC